TGTAAAATAAAAAGAATAGAAAAAGGTAAACTGCACACTAGTGTGTACAAAAAACCAACTCATTCTAATAGATACTTAGACTTTAATTCATATCATCTGTTAACTGTTAAGGCAGGCTTAGTTAAGTGTCCACCAAACCGAGCAGTAGTACGAGAAAAGAACTAAAATAGCATAAATAAAGAATATAAGGCATCTACAGTTCTACCATATAAGGAGGAGACATCTGAGACCCTCCCTACGTAAGATTCTTTATAAAGCAGGAATTAGAGTGGCATTTAAACCTACAAACTCAGAGACAAGCTCTGTAGGTTAAAGGGCTCTGTCGGTTAGACAATATTATTTACGAAATACTTTGCAATGGCTGTGAGGTAAACTACAGGGGTCAGACTAGTAGGTCAGGGATAGTCAGATTGTAGGAACATAATAATTTAGGTAAGGTTAGGACGATCGACCCCAGGAAGATGAGTAATTTAGAGATAAACTCAGCAATCGCGCTGCATGTATTAACACACAACCACTCAATAGAGTGGGACAGAGTCCAAATTATAAGATATAATATAGGTAGTTGGAGAGTGAGATTAATTACTAGGTCCTGGCTCATGGAGTCTACAACCGACACATGCAACAGAAATGGCTCGACGCAAATGCCTGAGATATGGAAGATATTATTGCCAGTCAAATAAGAGGATAATAAATAATGTTAAAATGTATTCAATTTACATTATAACTTCTAACAAGTTACTTATTTTTACTATAAAAACATCTTATTTAATTGATAACACTAACACTATTTCCGAACGTACTTTATCATGTATTGATTTTATTCAAATGTTTAATCAATTTTTACTCATGTATATAAATGAAGCAAGAAAGTTGTATGCGTGACTTGTTATGATTATGAGCAGTAATTTGCGCTCGAAACTTCATCAGTAAAAATTAGTGTATAACATTGTCTGATTATCAAAATAAAATTTTGTCCATAATAGTGTTAGTTCTCAAGCCCACAAACCACTGTTAGTCCCCGGTACTGTAGGCTTGTTACCCACTTGTAGCTCATTAATTCTGAATTGATAGCCCGGAGGAATGGGTTTGTTCCCTAATATTTATGGTATCTGTCGTCACAAGAAAATCTCCCTGTAAGTTTCGTTGTCGTTTATGTTCTCACATGAGCCGAGAATTTTGGAAGATGTACTTTGAACGTACAGGGATCATCCAATCGAGTTAATCCGTTGTCTAAAATTTCTCAACCGGTGAACACAACTGTTAATGAGCAATCACTTTTACTTGTTATCACACATCTTTTAGATTTGGGACTTATCATTTAATATGACTACCTCCGGGTTTGGGATTCAGTTCCATGATATGTGAGTACTGGCGATGTCAGTGTAAAATATGTATTTCAGTGGCATTTGTATGTGAATGCTGAGGATCCAACAACAGATAATACTTGAGTTGTTCATGAGCATCAATCTTTTCCTGCTATTAATAGCAGCGTAACTGTTTAATTTAAATCTTTCATTGTTTGTGACGTAATTTTTTATTTATTTGTTTTTTCTCGTGCTTTCGTTTGTTTGGTTTCCATCAACAGCAGGCAGAAGCTAATGGTAATATATGTATTCAAGTGTTGGTTTGTAGGGATTTGATTGGTTTCAGGATTTCATCATGAGCTGACATTAGTTAGAGAACCATTGGAAAACCAACTGGAAGTACTGGACAGTTGTTTCGTCCTAGTTTGGGACTCTTCATCAGTACGCACCCACCGGGATTCGAACCCAGGACCTTCCGGTTACAAGGCGAGCTCGTATACCATTAAGCCACTGGGACCCGATCCAATGGTCCTTGAATTCTAACTTCTGCCAATTCACAACATGGCGCGACCGCTAGCCAATGTCTTTGGCGAGTATTTGTCCTCACACCCGACCAGCTGCACCCTACTGGTCACGACTTCCCACTGGAACCCAGGTAACTACCTTTAAGATGTTATCTAAGTTTGAGACTCCCAGTTTTTCATCTAAATAGCCGTTGAGTCGTACATTTACAGACTTAAATTCATATGTACCAACAAATAATGGCCCGGAACTCTTGGTGCATGGAATTAAATTTTGTTTCCGTATAATAATTACATGCTACTTGTTATGAAAGTCACATTAATCTTTCTTTTTAGTAAACTATTATATCTTGCGCGTTTTGTTTTTAGTTCACAACAAAAATATCTTCCTTAAGAATGTATTTGTGAAATCACCAGTTTTTAGGAGGTAAAGGATATTGACGATTACATGAAATACAATAACAATGAAAGTGTTTATCCTCTAACTCCTAAAGTACTTGTTCTACTGAAACCAGAAACGATAAAGCAACGATTTAGTATTCCAAAATACTAGGTATATTTTGGTATCAGAAACGCAGATCAGTGGTGGATGCTGAATTAAGAATGCTATAGACTCATAGTTTTGAGGAATTATTTGTCGCTAAGAGTATGCTATTAGTCAAGTTTCTGAATCGACGGAGCAGTTAAAATACACGTATTAAGTAAAAGGATATCTCGTAATTGGAAAAGTCGGAAGGGAGAATTTAATAAAAAGCTGGGGAATAAATAGATCCGAGTGATGAAGAAATTCTCCCTGGAAGAAACCGCTGTGACATTCAGCAATTATCGTCTGGATTGTCTTTGCGTATTCGTTTTGTGCACATATTTATGTGTTGAAGTTGCAAATATACAATATCTTGGCCATGCATACATGTACATATGCCACCTATGCCTTTAGGCAGTGTGTTGTTCTAGAGCTTTTGCATCCTCTTGCAATGGATTTAGTTTATTCACACCTCATCACTTTCCGGCTTCTGCTTTGTCCCGGCCGATAACCGCTACCTCGACATAGTGGTTGAGCTTGTATATCGTAATGATCCAACAAGCTACACTGGCTGGAACTAATATTCCTGCAGGCCCTACTGTGTTAAGAAGATTGTTAGGATAGCGATTAGGCTAAAAGTAGTTACCAGCATAGTGTAAGAGTTTTTTTACACTATGCTGAGGGTAAAGTCGTACTTCTGGGGAACAGGGATGTAAGAACAGTATGGTGTTTCCATCAGATGACCGGCATGCCGGCTATACTGTCTCTCCACTTTGGAGAGAGGGGTTTAGAAAAGGTCGACCCCAAAAATTGTGCACCCCAACTCACCTTACGGTGGTCCGTAGCTGGCGGTAATTTACTAATACGGAATCAATCTAAGAAACTAGTTCATACAGGCCGTGTGTGTCCGGCCTCAAGAAGTTGTCCCTTGGGCTCTGCGGTCACGTAACACTTACTCTGTTTCTCTTTCAGGCAGGCTTTAGACCAGGAAGAGGGTGTATTGATCATATCTTCACCCTCCGACAGATTCTAGAACATAGGAATTCCTACCGGCGTCCAACAGTCATTATATTTCTTGACCTAAAGGCAGCATTCGACTCTGTCGATAGAGAAGTTCTCTGGAGATGCTTGGCTGTAAAGGGAATTCCGAGAAAATATATTGCACTGATTAAGGCACTCTACTCGTACTCATGTAACAACAGAAGACAAGGGCCAGGCAACAGATCGTTTTATTATGAAAATCAACACGTATTTATACATATTTCACATACATTATTATAGCTTATGCAAGTAGACAAGCGCAGTCATCTGATTGGTTGTTTATCAGAAGTTAGGCAAACAAACGCAGGCTTCTGATTGGTTGTTTCGGGATTCCTCGACAAATAGAGTTCTCTATCTGCGAATCATATTTTGCCACGTTAACTTTGCTGTGATTGGTTGTGGAATCAGCCTTGCTCATATTTTCTCACGGCCTGCTCTCACCACACTCATACAGCCAGGTGAGGGCTTACGGCAAGCTGTCATCTGAACTGATGACGACCAGTGGTGTCCGTCAAGGATGCCCATTATCTCCTTCTCTATTCAACTTCATCATAGATGTGTTAATGGACTTAACCCTAGGTGACTTCAGCGACTCAGGGATTGACTTGCTACCGGGGAATAATCTCGTTGACTTAGAATATGCAGACGATATAGTCCTTCTAGGCGAAGACGCTAACGAAATGCAGAGTCTTCTGAACACCTTGAGCTGTAATCTACGAATGTTTGGCATGCGATTCGCTCCCGCCAAATGCAAGATGATGTTACAGGACTGGACTACATCGACGCTTAGTTTAAAAAATAGGAAGTGGTAGAGCACGTTGACCGCCTCACTTATTTGGGAAGTACCATCAGCCAGTGCCAACGGGTTGATCTCTGACGAAATCTCGGCACGGATACAGGGGGCTCGTTTCGCATTTGCCAGTTTACGCCGACTCTGGCGTAGACGAGATGTTCAACCATCGACCAAAGGGCGGGTGTACTGCTCATCAGTCCGCTCCGTCCTCCTTTATGGCCAGCTGTGAGACCTGGCCACTCAGAGTGGAAGACATGAAAAGACTAGCTGTCTTTGATCATAGGTGCCTGCGCTCTATTTCCCGTGTAAAGTGGCATAATAAGGTGAGCAACATTGAGGTTAGGCGTAGAGTTCTAGGTAAACAGGGGAAATCAATCGACGAAGTCGTGAAGTTACAAAGACTGAGATGGTTAGGACATGTGTTACGTATGCCAAGTCATCGCCTCCCTCGACGAGCAATGTTAGCGGATATAGGGTCAGGCTGGAAAAAAGCTAGCGGCGGTCAAACAAAAACTTGGCACCAGTCAATGAAATCCACAACAGTTGGTCTAAGCCACGTAGGAAGGTGTAGACTTCCAGGCTGGGGTCCTCGGGACGGTAAAAATCTATGGTTGGAAACAATTGGTGACATGGCTCAAAATCGTTCTCAGTGGCTGGTGCAGATGCATCCACTCCTTGTGACTTATGATCTCCAATGAAACTGTTTTTTTTATTACTCCTTTGTTTCACACCTCTGCTCACTGTTTCTATTATGCTTTTCTTGTACTTTCTTCTCTTGCTTCGCGTGCTACACGGAGTGTGGCGACTTGAACTTCCGCACATTTGTGCAAAGTTCTATGTCGAAAACAGACAGACAGTCCTGACGTGTTTCCGTTTGTGTGGTTGAAGGCTTTGCGTTCTGATGTTGATAATAATAACACTGAAGTGTAGGATAAGTAGCTAACTTTAGTATTTATTCTCAGTTTTAGACTAACTGATTTTCTTATGCCTTTTATATTCTGTCACAGGAATCTGTCGCAAAGAAAATGAAATCTCCAATCGAAATTCCTTATGTTCATTCAAAGCGTGACCAATTAGATCAAAGAGCAATTTATGGTTTTATCATATATCTCGCATGTTTTCCTGCATTTCGTGAGTAACTGATGTATAGTTTCATTTTAGTTAATGTATTTCTTCGTGGTGTAGTTTCTAAATGACCTTAACACGTATATCCTTCTACACACCATCTGGCACTTTTTTCTGCCATATTTCTTGACTTGAAGGCGGCCTTCGACTCCATGGATCAAAAAGTACTATGGCAACGTTTGACTGTGGAGTGCCAAGAAAGTACATTGCACTAATCAAGGCACTCTATCCAAACTCACGTAGCCGTGTAAGGGCTTATGGGGAATTGTCATCTGAATTGATAACAACCATTGGTGTCCAGCAGGGATGTCCACTTTCCCCATTTCTGTTTAACTTCATCATAGATATGCTAATGGAAGTATCCCCAACTGAACGTAACGACTTAGGAATCGACTTGTTACCAGGGAATAGTCTTATGGACTTGAGATATGCAGATGACAGTCCTATTAGGGGAGGATGATGACAAAATGCAGAGTCTTCTGAACACCTTGAGCAGCAATCTTCGTATGTTTGGCATGCGATTCGCCCCTACAAAATGTAAGATGCTGCTACAGGACTGGACCACGTCAACCCCTAACTTAGTGATAGGGAGTGAAGTGATAGAACATGTTGACCACTTCACCTATTTGGGAAGTTGTATTAACACCAACGGACTGATTGGCGATGAAATCTCAGCACGGATCCGAAAAGCTCGAGCTGCTTTCGCTGAATTACACCATCTCTGGCGTAGGCGTGACATCGGTTATCAACCAAGGGACGTGTGTACTACTCATCAGTTCGCTCTGTCCTTCTCTATGGCTCTGAAACATGGCCAATACGAGTTGAAGACATGAAAAGGTTGACTGCTTTCGATCATAGATGTCTTTTTTTTAATTTTTTTTTTTTTAATAATAATCACTTTATTCCACAACAATAACAATTTACAGCATGGAATTTTCAGCGTTTCTTTTACATATTGCAATGGTTTAGCTCTGTTTATAATTATATAAATATATAAAATGTTAAAATATTGATAGTTAATAGGAAAAAATAATAAAAAAAAATAAAAATAAAAAAAATAAAAAAACCCAACAAAATCATACCATTTCTAGGTCATAGTGAATAATAAATAAATAATATAACAAATAACACATGCATTAATATGCATCATTTCATTTTATAGTTTAGTTATTGATTCAAAAGTTGTAAAAGTTCTTTTCTGATATTTGTCTCTTCACACAATACTCGTGCCAAATATGGAACGGTCGAATTTTTATATTTTGTAGTACGAGCATAAATGTTTATAAAATTTCTTCTGGTCTTACCCGAAGAGATACAAGGAAACAATTGTGAATAAAGAGGATGTTCACTATCAGATAAGATAACTTTAGCTAAGTGTTTACAAGAATTCATATGCCTATTGACAACAGTGTCATTTAGTTCAGTCAAAGGGATAGCACTGACCCTACTTACAGCCCTCAATGTTCTTCGTAGTATTATATGATCTTTCTTGAGTAGCCCAGGGAAGAATAATGGAGAACAATAAAGAATGATGGGCAAAACACATGAATTAATAAATTGTATGATAAGAGATTGAGTTATACCTGAGTGTCTCAACTTCTTTATGTAATAAGTCAGACGGAAAACTTTCTTAGAAACTATAAGAATATGAGACGACCAGCAAAGATTTGACGAGAAACTAATGCCAAGATAAGAAACACTTGACTTACTCTCAATCATGGTACCATCAATATTACAACAATCATGAGATTGAATCAATCCATGCATATCTTTTTCACTTCTCAAGCTGAAATCAACAGTGTTACATTTAGTTGGATTTAGTTTAAGACCATTTGAGCGAGACCAATCCTTAACTTCAGCTAGGAAGCCATTCATATAGGAACAATCCGATGTGGCAACTACAGGGACAGAAACGGTCAGGTCATCAGCATACTTAATGAAGTTAACTTTGGGTGAGTTCGGAAGGTCATGCAGAAAGAAAGAGAAAAGAAATGGAGAAAGTACTGCACCTTGAGGCACACCACTTTCAGTTAGCTGGGAAGTGGAGCGCTTTCCAGCCAAAACAGTATGCTGTTTCCTATCCTTAAAATAAGAAGACAGCCATCTAGTTGCCCAGGACTCTGTTTGAGCTGAAATCATCTTTCCTAATAAAAGTGTCCTAGGAACAGAGTCGAAAGCTGCAGTATAGTCTAAAAAGCTGTTCGAACGAACTTAGCACCCTTATCAAGGCAGGAAACAATATTGTGGTGTAGTACAATGGCTGCATCTAATGTACTTCTTCCACACTTATAAGCAAACTGCTTAGGGTCACTAAAAGCTTTTAAAGAAGGTTTAAGAATATTCAAAAGAAGTTTCTCCATAGTTTTCAAAAAAGGAGATGTTATAGCGACTGGTCTAAACTTTATACCTGCTCCAGAAGATGATTTCTGTACAGGTACAACCTTGATTTCTTTCCAGTCAGCAGGTACCGTTTCCCTCTTAAATGATGCGTTAAAGATTTGAGTAAGAGGATGACACAAGATGTCTGCACACTTTTGGAGAAGAATGCTTGGTACACCATCTGGACCAAGGCTGTGTGTTGGATTTAATGACTTCAAACATAATAGTACATCCTTTTCTTCAAAACCCTGAAAATGACCATTTTCTTGACTAGGTACATCAGGTACAACCATATTAATTTGTTTCTTGATAAATGATTTGTTTAAAGCATTTACATCAGAATAAGCATCAACGGACATTTGTTTTTTACTTGTAAGTTTATTGAAAAGTTTCCAAATGTTTGAAGGATTTTTACATGATAAAAATTTTTCATTATATAGTCTGTTCAACCTTTCTATTTCAATTTTTATAAGGGTGTTTATTTTACGGACACCAGTATTATCACAATTCTTATACAACTTCTCTTTTTGTCTTCTAAGTTTTTTGAGTTGCAAAGAAGAGATTCTGTCAAATCTCGAAAACAGTGTTTCATAAGGACAGCAAATATCCAAACAAAACTTCAGATAATCGGTTATATTAGAGACAGTAGCATCCAACTTATCGTCAGTAAACAGTTCCCAGTTGGTATCATGCAACATGCTTCTTAATGCTAGAATGTTGTCATGGGAATATGAACGTTCATGTATTTTCTTTGTTAAATGACTAAACAATTTTCGTTGTAACTTGCCGTACACTTTCGGTAAAATACGAATAATGCAGTGGTCAGAATTTAACAAAGGAGCTCTCCTTCGGGTTTCATATACATCACGGTCATTTATGAAAACCAGGTCTAGTGATTTGTCCAGACGTGTATTAAACTTGACTAGATTCTCATGACCAAGCGAAGTAAGAAAGCTGTGATCACATGAATTAAAATCACCACAGACTATAGACAACGAGTTTCCGAATGCAGGAGCAGCGAATTCAGTAAACTCATCTGCAAACATAACTATATTAGAAAGGCTACAATTGGGTGTTATGTAAATATTTGTTATGTATATATAAGAATATTTACTTAAGTGTTTTGGGCGACACCTGACGGTTATGCAATCTATACTGTCATTAGAATAATTGAAGCAAACGTGATTTGATGTAGACCAATTTGTGTTTATATATGTGGCTACCCCTCCTCCATATTTTTTCTTGGAACTATTTCTATCTTGGCGAAAAACTTTATATCCATTTATTGAAATTAGATTATCATCATAATGCTGGTGCAGCCAAGTCTCTTGTATTGCTAAAACGCCAGCATTTCGATAAACATTGGAATACATTAGGGATTGAAGGTAATCCATTTTGTTGGACAGGGATCTACAATTAGTGCTAACGAGTTCAGGAACAGTCATTTGATTAATTTGTGTACGTTTCAGTGCACGCTGCCAGCCACAGTGATGCTTTTTTCTCAATTTTTGTGGATGACACAACGCGGTAGGTTGTAATGATTTTAAAAATGCGCGATTATATATAATACGATTAGGACACATTATTGATAAATTAAAACAAAATTAAAAGAGCAAACCAAAGCAATTTTGCAAAATGTTGTAAGGTGGAATTTTTGGTAGCCCTATGTTCAAGCAGGCCGCCGTGATATTATGAGATCTCTGTCTCACGTTAGGTGGTTTAATAAGGTAAGTAATGTTGACGTTAGGCGTAGAGTGTTGGGCAAAGAGGGAAAATCAATCGACGAGGCTATAAAGTTACATAGATTGAGATGGCTAGGTCACGTGGTGCGCATGCCTAACCACCGCCTCCCCCGACGGGCCATTACTAGCTGATATAGGTGCAGGTTGCAAAAGGGTAAGTGGTGGCCAAACAAAAACATGGCCTCATCAATCCATGAAATCCTTGACAGTTAAACTGAGTCAGGTAGGGAGATGCAGACTCCCGGGTTGGGGCCCTCGGGACTGACTCTAGGAATCAATGGCTGGAGACAACAGGTGACATGGCTCAAAATCGTTGTCAATGGCCAGCGCAGATGTATTCAGTCTCTGTAATCTTTCATATTCCTTTTTACCATTACCCATTCTGTTTCACTCTTATACTTGTTAAACTCTATTAATTCTCTCCACTCATCTTCTTGTCTACCTTTGTGTGATATTTGGAACGTGGCAACTCGAAGTGCTGCACTTCGGTGCCAAGTTCTATGTTGAATCCAGACAAAGAGATAGACTATTTTTTAGAGGTTTGAAAATTGGCTAACCAATGGTTGTGTTATCTTTGAATAAAGAAAGAACAAACACATTTGCAGGATAATACCAGCTCATTTTATTTCATAGATCCTCTTCACTGGACACATCCTAAACAAAATCAGTTATAAGTTATAAAATTTTTAAACATACTTTTTACAATGACTTCGAGTTGTAGATAGACGGTATTATTGTTTCCTCCAATTCCTAGAGAAACATAAGGCTTCAGCCGCACGTTTCCATTGTGTTCGGTTCTCTGTCAACGTTTTCATATGGCTCCACATCTCCCCACATGTTTTTATCTCCTCTTCACATGACCTCCTCTATGTCACCCTCGGACAACGATGGAAAGTATAGGTAACATAATTTCAAATATAATATAAGTAGACAATTATTTAGTGTTAAAAGAGTAACAATTTATGTTAGTAATTAGACAAGCGGGTAGAATTCAGATTTGGCTTGGAAACAAGGATGGACTAGAGACAAAATACAAGAAAGAACAGCAGAGTGAATTTATAAATATTATGGTGGAGAGTTCAGTAGGTTCGGGATGAATAATGAAGCGAAATTATTATTATTCCCTTTGATTTCTAGAGGAACATAGGGCTTCAGCCGCGCGTCTCCATTGCGTTCGATTCTCTGCTAGAGTTTTCACCTGGCTCCAAGTCTGCCCATATGCTTTCATCTCCTCTTCACATGACCTCCTCCATGTCACCCTTGCTTTGACAACCAACTCGCCGCTTCCCTTTCGGGTTCCACTCGAGCAATGGCTTGTCTACTGATGACACTTGATGGTTTCCCCAGAGTATGGCTAGCCAATCCATCTCCATTTCTTCCTGCCTATTTGTTTCACAATCGGTTCCTACTGGGTTGGTTCGCTTGTTGCCAGAGATCCTTGTTTCTGATCTTTTCTGGCCGGCCATCTGATCTTGAGTATTGAGCGAAGACAACTGTTAGTGAAGGTCTGAAGTTTGTTTGAGATGCTCATTATGACGCGCCAAGTCTCTGATCCATCCGTATAGTAGCACTGACTGACTTCACATTGGAGTTGAAAATCCGGATCTTATTTTTGATGCTGAGTGCTGTTGACCCCCACACGGACTTGAGAGTAATGAAAGCTTGTCTTGCTTTCCCGATCCTCGTTGCTTTGATATCCTCGTCAGTTCCGCCTGTTGTTGAAACGATGTTTCCCAGGTAGGTAAAGGAGGTTGTTTCTTTCAGGTTCCTCCCATTTATGCTTATTGTGGTCTGTTGGTGTTGGCCAGGAATCTTCATCACCTCTGTTTTCTCTATGTTCACCTGATGCTTCTTCTGCTAACTTGTTGCTTTTCACTTGCATATCTTCCAGTTTGTGGGAAATCAGACATATATCATCGGCGAAGTCCAGATCCTCCAAGTTTTTTGTGTGAGTCAATTTTATGCCTGTTTCCTCATTGCCTGCTGTCTGTCGCATTATCCAATCTACTGCAATGAGGAAAATCACTGGTGATAGTAGACAGCCTTGTCTTACTTCCGTCTTGACTTCGAAGGATTCCATAAGTTTCCCGTTATAGATTACTTGGCATGCAGCATTGTCGTACAACTGTTGGATGAGATGCATAATTGTCGGTGGCACCCCGTAGTAGCGAAGTAGTTGCCAAATGACTTCTCGATCGACGCTGTCTACTGAAGGCCTTTTCAAAGTCGATAAAGTTGAGATAGAGAGTCAGTTTAGTTGATTTGGAAGCTTAATGGTGAGCTCACTCGTGGTAACTGTAATTTTTTTATTCGCGCGCTTTTGTGTTTGCATAACATTCCACTTAATTTTGATTTTCACTTATTGAGTCGAACTCACTGATAAGGTGTAAATTCTTACTTTTGTATAAGTGCAGAGAAATGTTAATGGGCTAATAAATAACTGGAATTCCAAAGTAACACCGTTGACGGGGGGCAGAAGCCTTTAGTTCATGCCTACTCTACTATGCTTGGGATGTATTATTCCAAATGTACTTTCTGAGCACCACAGATCCTAGTGTATTACTCTTGTCCTTCAACGTTTCCTACTCGATATGAGGATTATCAAAATATTGAATTTTCATGTTTTGGGGGACTTAGTGTTCAGACCACTTGTGTATATTTTGAAGTTCGAGCTTTAATTCAGCAAGTGAGACTTTTTCCGCATAGATTTCGCCTTCCTCATATGTTATTTACTGTTCCCAGAATACACATTTCGTATCCAGACAACGCCGTATACTCAGTATTTCTGAAAATATTTGACTCCTTATTGTTACATTTTATTTCGGTCTTGTATTTGAGTGATCCATAAATATGAAAAATAAGGTCTTATAAATGCGCATTAAATTCCATTTGAAAAAGAACATGTTCAATCTTTGAAAGAAACTGCCATTTTTTAAACTGAGTATTTTGCATGGGCCTGAGAAACGTTGTGTAATCAGACACTAGTTATAACCAGTACGGGATGAATTTCTTTGAAAGTTGTTTTTTTTTTATGCGCGAGAAAGGGTATACCAATGTTGTAGGGAAGATAGTTCACTTTTACAATCAAGCAAAGAGTTTTATGTCCTCTTTTCATAAATAACTTGTAGAATTACCAGTGTTAGCTGTGTGGAGTTCCTCCCGTTGATTGGTCAGTGTGGATTTTTACTGTTACATTTTTATCTGCACAGACGTTAGACGTTAGAAGGTACTTTAGGAAGTACTCAATTCCAGTCACGCCGCATTTGACACCATTCCAGTATTCACATCATTTAACATTTTGGAGGAGTTTCTTATCTTATCTACCTGGTACTTACTCTTTCTAAATTCTGACAGAGTAGAGTCGAGAGTATGTATAGTGGTCTATATTTGGCGCTTCTGTTGGGATATTGTCTGGAGTTACTGCCTTCGTGTTCGCGGACTATGGTAATGGTACTGCCTAGTTTATTAAATCAGTGTAGATTGAATGGATTCGAACTTATCATATCCTTGAATTACTTTACCATTGGTATTACTGATAAGTTATTGCAAATGCCCTAATTTGCTACTTTTTAGATTATCTTAATTTATTTGTCATAAATTCTCTGTACTTTTTTAAGTAATCAGTTGTAATCACTTGTTTTCTAAATATGTCAGTTTTACAACTCAATTTTTGCATAATTATAGTTGTGTAGCTTAGTGTTCTCATTAGTGATATGTGTGTAGTCATTGTTGACAGTGAAGCGACGGAGTGGGGTTAACAAGTTGGCAAGAAGTTCCAACAGCCCTAATGAACTGACTGATTGCTGACGAAATCTCTGCACGGATATAAAAGATTCGTGTAGCATTTGACAACCTACGTCACCCCTGAAGCAGGGGTGAAATCCAGCTATCGATCAAAGGATGTGTACTGCGAAGAATTCCACTCTGTCCTCTTTTATGTCTGTGAGACATAGTCTTTGAAAGAGGAAGACATGTAAAGGCTGTGTTTGATTACAGATGTTTGTGTTCTATCTCCCATTTTCGGTGATATAATATGGTCAGTGATACTTATGTTAAGTTAATCGTAGAGTGTTAGGTGAAGAGTGGAAGTCAATCAATCGATGAGGTTGTGAATTTATATAGACTGAAGTGTCTAGGACATGTGTTATGCATTTCTAGCCATCACATTCCTCGAGAAACAACAATTAGCTGACGTAGGATCAGTCAGATTGGAGAAGAACCAGTGGTTATCAAACGAGAACATGGAATCAGTCTATGAGATCTTTGATAGTTAGTTTGAGCCAGCCACGTGGGGAGGTGTAGACTACGTGGTTGAGGTTCTATGAAGTGTTGGCTGAAGACGATTGTTGATATGGCTGGAAATGGTTTCTGAATGGAGTAGATGCCATGACTCTGTGACTTTGTCGTATCTATTAAACGTTCGTTCATGTTTTTGCATGTTACTATTCTTTCTCGGTGACATATCTGCTTATTATGGTTGTTTGTAATCTCCTGTTTTGTCGAGCTTTGTGTTTTCCACGAAGTGTGGCAGGTTGGATTGGTGCACTTCTGTGTTCAAACTAGTCAGTCAGTAGGCATTATTTAGCTGATACATGGGTCATTAAAGCCTACTTATGAGTTAAAATCCTTAAGTTACAATTTTGTCTTTTTGACTAACTTGTGTTTTACTAACGTATTTTCAGTGTTTTCATAAATTGTCTTGTATCATCCTTTTTTCTTGATAGTATTGTATGTAATCTGGGCATATATACCTCATGAATGGTTGAATTCTATTGGAATAACTTACTTACCTAACAAGTAAGAAATGTGTGTGTGTGTGTTTAACTTTGCATCCCCTCAATGTTTATCTTACAAAAGGTATTGACTACATTTCATATAGGGCTAAAATAACCTTTAATACATTGAGGAATATGATTAGCAGAAAAGTCTATAGACTTCATTCTTTTGATTGGATTTATTATTTACAAACCTCTGCTTCAACTTCATCGAGTTCTAAAAGGCTTTAGACAGCCAGTGTTGATCAAGAAGTAATTTGGAAACTAATTCAACACTACGGCGTGCAGTGTCCAAGTCTTTACCAACCTCATTCAACAGCCCTCTGTATGATAATGCCATGTGTCTGACGATTCACAACGGAAAACTCAGTGAAGCGTTCGAAGTGAATACAAGAGGGAAACAAAGCTGCCTACCTATTATCACCGATGATATTCCTAACTGTGGTGGACTGGATTAAGCGTCAGACTGTGCATGAGGAGTGAGAAGACAGGCATGCATCGGGCCACCGATCAGAAGACTCTACAACATCTGGATTTCACACGTAGATGATTTGAATCTAATGTCACACAATCTCGAAGACTGGCTGGCGAAAACCAACAAACTAGCTGAAGAGGCAGGCAGCAAAGACCGGACTGCTGATGAACACGGAGAACACAGAGGTGATGAAGATAACCAACCAACTAACAGCAAAGACAACCAGCACCAATCACCATCAACGGGAGAGATTTGTGAGAGGTCACTTTCTTCACTTATCTAGGAAGCACATCTTCAATCACAGGCCGGCGGAACGAATGAAGATGTCTGAGTCAGTCAGAATCGGAAAGGCAAGATATGCCTTCATCAACCTGAAACCAGTTTGGAAATCTTCTGCACTCTGTCTCAGCATCAAGAACAAGATTCCGATGTTCAACACAAATGTGAAGTCAGTCAGTGTTTCTATTCGGGTCAGAAACTTGGTTAGCGTTTCACTAAAAGGATTTCCAACAAGTTACTGACATTTATCAACAACTGTTTTCGTTCCATACTGAAGACCAAATGACCAATCAGAAAGGATTAGCAACAAAAATCTCTGCATGACAGTAAACCAACCGAGAGCTGATCACGCAACAAATATGTAGGAGAAAATGGAGATGGATCGGAAATACGTTGAGAAGGCCGTCGAATTACATCGCTCTGAATGCAGGCTGTCGCTCGAGTGGAATGCCATTGGGAAGTGACGAGTGGGTCATAGGTGAGAGGTTGAAATGGAGGAGATTGTGTGGCGAGGAGGATAAGAGAGATTATGGGCAATTGCAGACTCAGGTGAAGAGGACAGTGGCGATGTGTTGTTGAAGCCCTATGTTCCACGCGGAACCCATGGGAATAATAATAATAATGGTAAAACTGTGCAGTTCGAAGTGAAAACTTTCTACAGTTTCCATTGAAAACCAGAAATACTGAGATCATAATGTATGATCTTCTTGATATCATAGTTGACATTATGTAAGGAAACGAAATTGCAAGATGGTATGTCTCACTGTGTAGATTTCGTCTAAGAAATCTTGAGCGATAATCCAATCGATTCATTAAACCACACGTTGGGTAACGCGTAAAATCCAAAACACACACAGTATTGGTTTAGAATACGGTATTATATTGTACATAAAACGATGAAATGTAATATGCCAACCTCGAAATGTGAGATGCCTGTGGCTCAGGGCTGCAGAATGCACAATCACTGTACGTCAGTAAGATAAACAGCCAAGCTGTCAGGGGCGATCCACGGTCAGACTAGACAGCCTGTCAACGAGAGACAGAGAATAAAGGGATTTGAATGAACAGTCTTTGACAGAAAATGGTTCACAATTGAAGCTTATACATCAGGTAATGTTTAACTATAAGGAAGTAATATCTATGTGTAAAAAAAAGAGTATTACTACATTAAATGGGTTGAGCTTCAATGGCAAACAATAGCCCCAGCCATGGACTATCAAGGTATAAACTCATACTACTTACTAGTGGTAAGTAGTATAAATTTAACACAAAAGAAAAAATAACGAAGGGCAAATACGAGAGGAATTAATACTTCGAATGCCAAGTGCATATATATTATTCTTATTGTTCCCTTGGGTTCCTAATGGAACATAGAGATTCAGCAGGACGTCCTCACTTTGTTCTGTTTCCTTCTGTCCTCTTTAGCTGGGCCCACGAGTGTCCATAATTCCTCATCTCCTCCATGTCACCCTCGGACGACCCAGTCATTGTTTTCCATTCGAATTCCACTCTAGTGATGGCCTGGTGTGCGATGTCATTCGATGGTCTCCTCAGTATGTGTTTAACCTATCTCCACTTTTTCCTTAATATTTGGTTAGTTTGTTCGCAAGAAATTAACATACGGATTGTTATGCATAGTTGGAAACCACTCACGCCTACTGGTAGTACATTCTAGCCACTATGTGTAGATTGCTTTCATCTGACATTTGGAAGTAACCAAATTGAGTCACTTTTATCACCGTAGCGTTATCTGAATACCCATCAAACAATGCTTGTATTGTGTGGCAGTTCGCTATGTCATGCTCTTTGACTATGTGATATAACCGTTGAGGGGTATGACTTATGAAAAGATTTGCGCTTTTTGATCATGAGTACTTATGTTCAGTATCTCTTGTTGAATGATGAATCAATATGGTAATTGATGATTCGGTTAGGCTTGTTGAGTTGCATCAGCTGAGATGGTAAATGGAAATTTTCGCTCGGACACAAGCTTAATTTTATGCGTAGTCCAGATTTTAGCCTGTTGTTTGACTCATAGCATTTTTAGTTTTTAGAAGTTTCGCTGGTACACTTTTCGAAAGATGTTCTCTGACCGTCCAAAAAACATTAAACTTGTCTTATAGGTCCCCTTTGGTCGATTCAGTCTTAAAACCTGAACTGTGTAATAAATAGTAGTTTGTTCAGTTGTTATTCCATAGTAGTTTATTTATTAGATGTATCACAGTGAAACAGTATTACTTACTGGATGACAAAGTTTATTGATCATAATCATATCAATTGTAATCAGACGGCTTCGAAACCTGAGTTTTATAGTTTTCTTTGTTCTCTCCTATTTGTCGTAGCTGTATTAGAATGTAAATCATCAGTAGTACTTCCATACAAAGAAGGGACTTCGGAAACCTTACGCAGAATTCTTAACAAGGCAGGAATAAAAGTGGCTGACATTCAAACCACCCACAAACTCAATTAGAAACAAGCTTTGTCGGTTAAAGGATCCCGCCAGTGGAGCCAATAAAACAAGACAATTTAGTTTATCTAATACCCTACCTGCGATGATTGTCGAGTCAAATACATAGGTCAAACTAGTAGAACAGGTGCAGTCAGACTAGCCAAGCGTAAAAACCTAGCAAAATCTAGATTAGTTGACCCGAATAAGATAAGAAATCTAGAGAATAGTTCAGCCGTAGATAGCACTCACTACATGCAGTTACACACAACCATACAATATACAATGGATGGGATAAGATGCCAGTTTTAAAATCTAATGTCACAGCGTGGAGGGAGAGATTGATAACGGAAGCTTTGTTTATCGAATAGAATGCGAACACATCTAGTAGGAATGATCCAACACCTGTCCATCCAGATATCTGAAAAATTCTACTCCCCCAATGACGAAAAATAGGAGAGAACAAAGAAAACTATAGAACTCAAGTTTCGAAGTCGTGTGATTACAATTGACATGATTATGAACAATAATAGATTGTGTTTGAAACTGTGTCATCCAGTAAATAATACTGTTTCACTGTGTGATATGTCTAATAAACAAACTAATATGGAATTGCTTACCACCACAGTGCCCAAGTTTTACACATATATTAATATGTTCGGTTGTTATATTCACAGTGAATGTAGACGATAAATGTGAAACTGACACAAGAAAATTTGATAATGAAACCTTATTTTATATTCATAGTTCTTTTGTAAAAAAGTTTACTGTTTTGTTCAAAGGTAGTTATTATCTTTAAGCAAAATATTTGCTAGAGAAGTTTTGAACTTTTCCGAAATGTTTATTTTTTGTTAATGTTTTAGGCACTGGGCAGTCACTGCACCAATGTCAGCGCTGGTTATATCTATAATCGGACTTATTGCTTATTCATGGAATAATCGATCGCTTATGCAACCACTGACATCCATTTATCAAATTCGAGGTATAGTCGTTGGCTTTTCTAAATACTTTGTATCATTATTAGCCGCTGGTGGAGGTGGTGTAGAGGTTTTAGATTTACTTTGGATATTACTATTATTTTTCTAGTCATTTTAGTGGTCAGAAAGTATTTCCCAGTCTCCTATTGAGGAACAAGAATAATTTTTATACACTTGTATTCGTCAGGAGGATGGCTATAAATTAATTTTCGAGAGTTAGTGTAAAGAAATGTGGTTTGTTTCAAGTTTTCCCATGGATTGATATATTAGTTAGAGAACCATTGAAAAGCATGCAGTACTGGACATCTGTCTGGCCCTAGTCTTGAACTCATCGGCAGCACGCACCCACTGGGGTTCGAACCTCAGGTTCTCCGGTTACATGGCAAGCCCGTAGACCACCCAGCCACTGGGCCGGACTCAACGGCCAATCCGTGAATTCTAACTTCTACCAAATCGTGATTTTGGCGCGATCACCAGCCAATGTTATTTGCTAGTACTTGTACACACATCCAACTTTGTAACCGGAAGGTGCTGGGTTCAAATACCGGTGGGTTTGAACTGATCGCGGGTCTGAAACTAGCACAAAAACAGCTGTCCAGTACTCCAAGGTTTCTCAATGGTTCTCTAACCGATGTCAGCTCATGATAAGACCTTGTAACCGATCAAATCCCTGCAAACCAAAACTTGAATAGTTTTATACGGTCATAAAACCTATATTTAGTTTGTTCTTTGTCCCAGGATCGCCTCCTTTTAATTGTAGTAGTTCCGTCAATATTCACCACGACTTATGAATTTCTGAAAAGATCAATGATCCTGTTCATTTTTCATCAGTTTAGCATTCATCAACTCTCTTGGTGGATGACGGTGGTTATTGAATCACAGTCCCTGTAGGAATATCATCACTTATTGGCCTGCAGATACCATTAAGTGATGAGTTGCAAATAGGGTGAAACTCGCGTCCCAACCAATTTGTGTCAAATTACATCAAATTTTGAAATCTAAAGACCTCATTGTAGCTGGTACGCCTAACACTAGACTGAAATCTTCAATAAATAATAAATCCTTCTAAGAGTTGACTCATGAATAGTTTTTCGAATATGAATGAATTTTGTTATACACTAACTCATAGCTTAGAGATGGGAGTTGAAGTGGTTCGTCATATTGAACACTCCACTTATTTGGCTTGTTCCATCAGCCCTAATGCACTGACTGATTGCTGACTAATCTCAACACGGACACAAAAGCCTCGTATTTCATTAGCCAAAATATCCCATCTCAGGCGTAGACGCGAAGTTCGACTATCGATGACAAGACATGGGGTACCCGCCAGTCCACTCTGTCCTCTTTTATGTCTGTGAGACATAGTCTTTGAAAGAGGAAGACATGTAAGGGCTGTGTTTGATTACAGATGTTTGTGTTCTATCTCCCATTTTCGGTGATATAATATGGTCAGTGATACTTATGTTAAGTTAATCGTAGAGTGTTAGGTGAGGAGTGGAAGTCAATCAATCGATGAGGTTGTGAATTTATATAGACTGAAGTGTCTAGGACATGTGTTATGCATTTCTAGCCATCACATTCCTCGAGAAACAACAATTAGCTGATGTAGGATCAGTCAGATTGGAGAAGAACCAGTGGTTATCAAACGAGAACATGGAATCAGTCTATGAGATCTTTGATAGTTAGTTTGAGCCAGCCACGTGGGGAGGTGTAGACTACGTGGTTGAGGTGGTTCTACGAAGTGTTGGCTGAAGAAGATTGCTGGTATGGCTGGAAATGGTTTCTGAATGGAGTAGATGCCATGACTCTTTGACTTTGTCGTATCTATTAAACGTTCATGTGTTTTGCATGTTACTATTCTTTCTCGGTGACATATCTGCTTATTATGGTTGTTTGTAATCTCCTGTTTTGTCGAGCTTTGTGTTTTCCACGAAGTGTGGCAGGTTGGATTGGTGCACTACTGTGCAAACTTCTATGTTCAAACCAGTTAGTTGGTCAGCAGTTAGAAGGAATGTTTTATGCAAAATGATTTCATTCCTTCTTGTTAATTAAATTTACCAGAAAAGTATATGAATTTTTTAATTTTTTCACTTCAGATAAACATTCAATGTGTCATGTAAATGACATGGTGGATAAACAAGACTTGAAGCAATCGGACGTGTTCCAGTCAACGACTATTTATACACTGGGAAAGCCAATAATTCCTCAATTACATGATTTAGATTATAAATTGGTTACAAATCAACTATACCTCAAACAGCATAGTGATTATTTCACAGACTAAGTAGAATATTAACAATAATACTAACCTAAGTTTTTAAAAATTATTGATGACGTGTGAATGTATCTTTCTAATTTTATTTTTCTACGTTTTTTCTAATATCATTTATACTACTGTATACTACTATTAAGTAGTACGATGGATCGTACCAAATTTATTTATTCGCTTTATTGAAATTGGGCATTAACTGTACTCAGTCATTGTCGAAATTTAGTTCTATCCATTTTAATTTAAATAAAAGTTATGGGACTTTGTTTACTTATTTGTTCGTTTTTTTAAAAAAACTACCTGTAGTTTCGAATTTTAATTCACATGTGAATGACCATATTTGATTATTGGTATTGATTTTTGATCACAGCTTGATGCCACGCCGTATTTTATCACAAGTATGGAATTTTCAGCATGTGATATCGGTAGCCCAAATTTTGCAGGCCGGCCATAGATATCGGTTATGTAATGAACTATTACTAAACAAACGACATGAAGTCATGCCTCTTGTTTTTTTTCTTCCTTCACGTTCCCAGTCGAACATAGGGCCTCAAGCTAGTCGCTTGAAGTTTCTGTAGCAGTGTTTAATTTTTACAGGATGGGGTTGCTAGCCTCATGCCCAACCTTTCTTCTTTACCAGCATTATTTCTGGCTTAGCTAGGTAAAGGAGTGCGTCTGTGGCCGGGGGTCCAACCCCGGACCATGTGCATGGTCGGCGAGCGTCTTCTTGTTTAATGATTGATAATACTCCCTAACTACACACTCTTTCTCAGCTAACGATCAGTTTGAATCTTCGTTTCAGCAATTGAAATAACTGTTGGGTGGTTTCATTGCAAAGTAACCTGGTTGAATCGCTACGAGCTACCTGAATCTCCATCTATTATAATGAAACATGTTTTCTATAATTCTTATTGTTTCAGTCATCGAGGTATGCGCTTGACTCACAAAATATACACAGCTACATCAGAGATCACTGACGAGTGTGTACTTGCATGAGTGCATGCGTACGTGAGTGTGTTTGTGTGAGTCTGTCTCATTCTGTCTGTGTGTGTCGTTCTAGGTGTGAGCGTGTGTGCGTGTGTCTATCCGCTCGTATCGCACAGCTCTCTCCCTCTCTGTCTTTCAGTCTATATCTCTCTCGCCCACGCTCTCCTCACTTAACTCCCCACACTCCTCTACCCGTGACCAGATGCACGCTGAGCACATGGAAATACTGATTACAATATTCACAATTATCACAATACTCGAAATATTCGTAAAAGTCAGAGTGACAATCATGACTGTAATATTGGTGATGAAGTTCATAGCTTTAACGATGACGTAATTTGTAGTATCCACAATAAGAACACAATGTTCAGTGGAGAGACTCTTTTCAACGAATTTAATAGGAAGCTGTACAGTCGTATATATATATGGTTTTTAAGAATTTATATTCTGTGAGGGAATTAGATCAAAGGTGTGAATACATGAAATAATAACAGTATGAAATGCAATTAAGATATTTGTGATTATAATCATAGTTAAATGTCAAGTGGCAAGACAATTAGTGTCATATGTAGAATAATACATAAGCTTATTTTGATGAATTTAAAAAGAAAGTAATGGATATAATTATTGAAGAAGACGAGATTATGGCAAGTTTTGATGTGGTTTCTTTATTTACTGGTATTCCTATATGTGAGTCACTCGATATTATGAAATATGAACTTGAAAACAATCAAGAAGTATTAACTAAATCTTTATTATCAATAGATGAGGTTATAAAATGTTTAAAACTTTGTTTGGAATCAACATATTTTGCATTTAAAGACAAACTATACTGTCAAACAAATGGAGTTGCAATGGGTTCACCAGCATCTCCAATTGTAGCAAACTTATATATGAAAGCCTTAGAAAAGAAAGCATTGACAAGTCTTAGCTGTTATCCTAGTATATGGTACAGATACGTAGATGACACATTTATTGTCATAAAGAAAGCTGAAAAAGAAGACTTTTTAACAGAAATTAACTTAATCTCAGAATATATTGAGTTTACTAATGAAATAGAATCGGCGGAGGGAACTCTAAACTTTCTTGATTGTCTTGTAAAAAAACAAACTGACGAGAAACTAAAGTTTACCATACACAGAAAGCCGACACATTCCAATAAGTATTTGAATTTCCAATCAGATCATCCAATAGGAATGAAAGTCTCAGTAGCTTTAAATCTCTTTAACAGAGGTAGAAACATTATAACTAATAATGACGATATGGAGAACGAGATAACCAATATAAAACAGATTTTGATTGGAAATGGTTATCCTGAAAAGCTACTAGATAATATCATCAATAGAAATGAGCATAAAGAAAAACAAAAAGTTGAAAAATCCTGGCTATCGACGATAGCCATTCCATATCGAAAAGACACAGCTGAACAACTTCAAAGACTATTTGCTGCATATAATATTAAAGTCTATGTCAAACCTTCTAATTCTCTAGAGAAAGCTTTAGTGCATGTCAAAGATATAGTTCCCAAAATGTCACAAAGTAATTGTGTCTACAAGATAAAGTGTTCAGAATGTGAGGCATGCTATATAGGAGAGAGCAGTAGGCAGGTGAAAGTCAGAGTGAATGAACATAGACTTTGCACGAAACGTCCACCTAGAAATGAAGTAGAATTAAAAAGTCTAGAAAAAAGATCGGCTATAGCAATACATGCGATAGACAGCGGACATAAGATTGATTTTGACAATGTCGAAATTCTTGGAAGAGGATTTCATTCACATAAAGAGAGATTGACTTCGGAAGCCCTACACATTTTAACCACATCAAATGCAGTGAATAGGAAAGAAGGTATAGACTTATCGTCTATATGGCAAACTCTTATGAAGCAAGACAAATGAAAAAACAACAAACACTCTATGAGCCTCCATGACCTTTAAAACATGTAGTGACAGGTTTATCACATATGAATTCACGTATTTTCCATATGACAAATAACACACGCATACAAATCTAGTCTTTACAAATCAACTATTGTAGAGTAAACACAACAACAATTTGACATTAGTCGTCACAAATATATGCGAGGACAGCTTACATACTTCTATTGGTAAAAAATGTCCATGGACAAATGACCATCAAATAAACTGACTTCATTTTATGTAAAAAATTTTGACGATATATTTTGATGATTAGTTATAATCCGAATAAATCTGCTGAAGAAGCTGTGGCTTACACGGCGAAACGTTCAGAAAAATCTTGTTTTGATTTTCTTAATACGCTGGGATTAATTTAAATAATTTATAATGAATACATAAGCTGTATAGATTTTGGAAAAGAGTGCATAATAATAGGATTATTGGGTCAATATAAAATGTTACGTAACATGGTGTGAAATTTGAGATGATAGAATTCAATATTGTTAAAAAAATAATAATTTTGGATTTAGAATGACAAATAGGACAAGCGGAAACAATTAAAAGTGAAAATAGTAATAATAATAATCGTAGTAATAAGGGAAAGGCACATAGAATAACTGAATTAACAAAATAAATGTCTATCCTTCTACGGCCAAGGCAGAAGGAGGGATTGTACATACTTCTTTTATAAAACACAAAGGTCTTGCTTAGAGTCATGAATCGCCAAGGCCTTCGCTGTCCGTAGAAGTCTGCAACGAAGAAAGCGCGGCAAGTCATCATGGATTCGGTAGATGATCTAAAAATCATGGACAGGGTTGACAGGAGCTGATCAGGTGTTCTGGAATAAAGCTTCGCATACACTTCTTTTCTCCCTTGTAAAACCATGCTGGAATATGTTCTCGTATCCGTGTGGAAAGCGTCCTCTGGCTACGGCCAATGTACCTTGCTCCACAAGAGCAGGCGAACTGATACATGCACATGGAGGTGGCCAGAGGGGAGAGCTTATCTTTTACAGAGATGGAGAACAATTCGAGGCTAATGAACGTCATTCGTAATTTTGCTGCAAAGAACGTTCTTCTGACTGCTTTAGAGAGACGGTTTTTGAGCATATCTGAATTCCAAGTTCATGAATGAAGCTTTCTTTAGAACTGAGTTGGTGACCAGTTTAGACTGTTTATCTTTCGTGTTACTGTCAATAAATCGGTTCAGGTAACCGTTTTCTGCAAGCGTGACTTTTACGAAGTCAATTTCTGATTCAATACAATCAGAACTACAAATGTTTCTTATCCTAAAGCAGAGTGAATAAATTAGGTTTCTTTTCCTGGAGGTAGGCACACAACTATGAAAGTTAATTAGTTGTCCATTCCATGTACGTTTCTGGTGGATGGATCTTATGAGGGATCCGTCATTGTGCTTACTAAGGCATACATGAAGAGAGGGAATACTTAGTTCAGATTCCTTTTCTATGGTGAATTGTAAAGAAAGATGTCAGTTGTTGAAAGTAAACAAGATATCATCAAGAATTACTTTATTATCGCAAATAACGAGTTTCGTCTACGTATCTTTTATAAATATCGAAATGACCGATGGTTTGACTAAGCTGAGAGTTTTTAAGCCTTGGCATAAAACAATCAGCCAGCAATGGACCCAGTAGTGATGTCATCTCTCTGTCTAAAAATCTCATTATTGAAGGTGAACTGAACATTCAACGTGCATCTCAATAAAATTTCTTTGAAGTAGATTGTCGGCAGCCTTATTTCTATCAGTGTAATCACATAAATAGCAAACAGTTTCTATGAAAGGTACATTGGTAAATAGCAAAGTCACATCTAATGAGAACATGATTTCGTCTGAGACATTAAAATCTTTAATACTCAAAAAATTTAAATATATTTTCAATGGAAAACTTAGACACTTGCCTACTAACTGGTTCCAGCATTTCAGCTAGCCAATGAGCAATTCCTTGATAAGGAGAACCCACCGTATCGAGAATCAGACGGGGAGGTAATCCTGTCTTGTGAATTTTCGGTAATCCATACAAATGTGATATTATGGAGCCTACTGGTCAGATGCCTTCCTATAGATCTGACGAGATTACGGATTTATTCCGTAATC